TCAAGAGAGCCACCAGATGAACGTCCTCATTGAATGAACAGGGGAGCAGCGCTCCGTATATGAACAGGGAACGAGGAGTGGAGATTTTCATGTAGCATTTTGATGTCACAAAGGACACAAAAGGTCCCATCGGGTGACGATCGCCCCTGAGCACAAGGTGAGCATGAGGCTTCGGCACTTGAAATAAGCTTTGATTGTGAGGGACATAAGTCCCAGACTGATCAGATCCAAGGTCCATTTAGGCTGTTACATTTTCTCTGGCAATGGTCAATATGCCAGCACATCCCTTGGCCTGCGCCACTTCCCGCCACCCTCATTAGCCTGGAGCGGCAAACCGCGGCCAGTGGGAGCCGCGATCGGCCAAACCTGCGAACGTGGCAGGTAAACAAACCAGCCCGGCCCACCAAGGTTCTTATCCTGGTGAGCCACGTCCCAAAGGTTGCCGATCCCTGAAGTAGAGGTAAGAATAACATAAAAATGTATACATGTCTGTCTGTCTGCTCCTTGTGTTACTGAAGCACAATCCTTCTATGGAAAAAACTTTCCATCAAAACTTTAAGGGAATTGGGTTTTTGACTAAACAAAGATGTTTGCAGAAAGACTCTACTTTCCTCAAAAATAAATAAACCTTTTTATTGATGGAGAGTTGAGTTTTTCTGCTGAAAATTTCAATAAAAGAAAAGTTTAAAATTCTCAGCAGGAGAGAAAAGCATTCTCGCATTAGCCACACAAATGATGTTTTATCCACTGCAGATGTCTTTGCATGTAGGACAGATGTCACTCTAAGCTGCGGCTATGTCTTTAGGGGATGCCAGGTAATGTAGACCCCGGCTGCCATCTAGAACAGGGGTAGGCAACCTATAGCACAAGTGCCGAAGACGGCACATGACCTGATTTTCAGTAGCACTCACACTGCCCGGGTCCTGGCCCCGGTCCGGGGGGCTCTGCATTCTAATTTAATTTTAAATGAAGCTTCTTAAACATTTTGAAACCTTATTTACTTTACATACAACAATAGTTTAATTATATATTACAGACTTACAGAAAGAGACCTTCTAAAAACGTTACAATGTATTACTGGCACGCGAAACCTTAAATTAGAGTGAATAAATGAAGACTCGGCACACCACTTCTGAAAGGTTGTCAACCCCTGAGCTAGGGGATGCCAGGTATTGTAGACCCCGGCTGCCATCTGGTGGCCCGGAGATGAACTGGAATCTCCCACTAAGGAGTTTTTGAATGAACAAGGGTACGTTCTCCGTTACTGTGTTCACCCCTCTGGCACATACACAGCTGTGTCCTCAGGCTTCAGCCCAGCCATTTGCAAGAACAGCAGGTTCTGGGTGTTGTCTCTGGAGATGGTGAATCACCCTTTAACCGAGTCTGTGTAGTATGTGGTGTCACCAGCACCGTGTCTAATTGAAGGCACCCATTCCAGTCCTTCTCCTGGAGACCTCTGTGCCCAGTGCATACCATAACTAGTGTACGTGTAGCCAGATGCTTTACAGGAGAGTTTGGCAGAGTCTCCCGGCTTTTAAACTTCTGCCCCAGACTGGATTAACTGGATTTGTGACCAGACACCTGCAAATAGACAAATATTAAAGATCTAGGCTGTGATTCAGCAAAGCAGCTAAGCGCGTTCTTCAGTGCTCTGGAGAATCAAACATTGAACTAAATGTTCCTTTTGGCTGTATTTGTTTCCTTCTTTTATCCCAGGTGCCTCAGAGGTTCCTACCTGAGAGAGCTGCCAGCAGGGAAAGAAAAATGAAACACATCATATTTATTTTTTAATCAGAAATCGAATGGAAGAGACGAAGATATGCAGCACAAAGTAGGGTACTTGGGCTGTGCCAGAGAAGGAGAAGTTCTCTGGATCTTAAAAAAGAAGTTGCCCTACTTAATTTGCATGAGCCAGTTCAAAAAGCCTTTAAAGCCAGGCAGCAAACAAAGGGGTAGGAGAGAGGGAAGAGGCAGTAACAATAGGAGTAGGTTTCCAATGTACTTAGGTTATGATTTCTCAAACTGCCTTTCTTCCTAATATAAACCAGGCAGCTAAATGCCTTTAGGTGGCTTTGCAAATCTCAGCCAGAATTAATACTAGAAAGGGGGGAGGGCAAAAAACCAACTGGTTTCAAGACTGAGCTTGATAAACTTATGGAGGGGGGAGGGGGGTATGATGAGTTGGCCACATGCCATTGCAGGCACCTCTACAACTGCTGGTAGCAAATATCCCCAATGGGCAGTGATGGGACACTAGACGGGGAGGGCTCTGAGTTACTACAGAGAATTCTTTCCCAGGTGCTGGGCTGGTGGGTCTCGACCACGTGCTCAGGGTCCAACTGACCGATATTTGGGGTCATGAAGAAATTTACTGCTCCTCCCCCCTCCAGAGCCTTTCGCTGCCGGATTTAGCTACATAGGCAGTGAGTGTGGTTGCAGCCTATATATTTCATACCATGTCTCTGGTTTGACAAGATCATTCTGAATTCTAATCCTGTTCTCTACAGTGCTTGCAACCCCTCCCAGATTGGTATCATCTGCAAACTTTACAATGCACTCTCTCTGCCATTATCCAAGTCATTTATGGAGCTATTGAATAGAACCCAGGACAGATCCCTGTGGGACCCCACTCGATATTCCCTTCCAGCTTGACTGTGAATCATTGATAACTCCTATCTGAGTACATTTTCTAACTAGTTGTGCACCTACTTTATAGTAGGTTCATCAGCCTATATTTCCCTGGTTTGCTTATGAGAAGGCCGCCTAGGGCAGTATCACATTTCTTACTAAAACTGAGATATACCACATCTACTGCTTCCCCCCACCACATCCACAAATCTTCTTACTTAGTCAAAGGAGGATGTGAGGTGGGTTTGACGTGACTGACTGTTTCTTGTCACCTTATCTTCTAGGTACTTGCAAATTGATTATTTGCTCCATTCTTTCTGGGTACAGAAGTTAATTTTAGTGGTTTATAATTCCCGTGTTTCCCTTATTCCGCTTTTTATTGAGAGGTACCACTTGCCCTCTTCCAGTCCTCTGGGATCTCTCCTGTCCTCCTCTGAGTTTTCAAAGATAATGGTTAATGGCTAAGATCTCTTTGGCCAGTTCCCTAAGTATTGTATGATGTATTTCATCTGGCCCTGCTGACTTGAGGACAACTAACTTGTCTAAGCAGAGGCGACGTGTGGGAACAATATAAATACCTACGACAGCTTGAGGGCTAGAGCTAAAATATGGCTTATAAAAAGAAGACCTGCAAATTCATATCCTTAATGCCCTGCCAGAATCCTTTAATATCTGTGCACCTGCATGGCTAGAACACAAGGAGGTGTCTGTGCAGCTAACGTCTAGACACCATGAGCACTTTATCCAGCATCAACAGCATATTTTGGCTGAATTGTCTCTTCAGTCTAGTGGCCTTTAAAGGTATTATGGGTTCCTGCATTTTATAGGGATGTTTGGCAATATTGTGCATTATGGTCCTGGTGCAAAGTTCACTAAAGGCAAGGAGAGGACTTCCATTGGTCTGAGTGGGGTTTGAACCAGCGCTCATATGAATGTTGACTGGTATTTTTCGAAGGGGACTTCGGGAGTGGGGTATCTAGTTCCATTGACTTTACCCTTTGAAAATTCCAGATGCAATTCCCAACACTTCATTTTTTCCCCCACAGGTGTCTGGTCGCAGGTCCAGCTGGTAGAGTCTGGAGAGGATGTGAAAAAGCCCAGAGACTCTATGTGTCTGTCCTGTAAGGATCTTGGCTTCTTCATCAGTAGCAACTGGCTGGATTGGATCCATCGTGCTCCTTGGAAGGGACTGGAGTGGGTCTCCAGTATAGATGCATGGACCCCATATTACCTCGATTCAGTGAAAGGGCAATTCACCATCTCCAGAGACGCCTCCAATAACCTGGTGCATTAGCACATCAGTAGCCTTAACTCACCGGCCTGTATCACTGTGCTAGAGATATGGGATTCCACAGAGATTCAATCCAATGCAAATATCTTAATGGGATCCTCCCATGGAGAAAGTCACTAAAGGAATTGAAATACTCTGACTGCCTTCTGCTTCCGTCACAGAGCACAAGAGAAAGCACAGAGAATCCTAGAAAGGCGGGGCTGGAAGAGGGACTTGAAGAGGTCATCTAGCTGACCCACCTGCACTGAGGCAGGATTAGATATGCCTAGTGGAAGCTTTCCTCATCTGTTCTTAAAAACCTCCAGTGATGGGGATTTCACAACCTCCCTAGGTAACTGGTTCCAAATGCTGATAGTTAGATATGCTTATCCTTAGAAAGGTCCGTCCCCCCGCCCTGATATCTAAACTAAATCTCCCTTGCTGGATTTTTCATTTATTTATTTTCTAAAAGACATAGAATCCTAGAGACGATAATTGCCAGTGATGGAGAATCCATCATGACCCTTGATAAGTTGTTCCACTGGTTAATTCACCTCAATGTCCATTTAAAAAATCACCTTATTTCCAGCTGGACATTGTCTAGCTTCAGCTTCCAGCGTTGGATCCTGTTATACCTTTGTCTGCTATACTGAGGAGCCCGTTATCCAATTTCTCTTCCCCATCTAGTTACTTGGAATGCAACCAAGTCACCCCTAAATCTTCTCTTTGTTGAGATAAAACAGATTGAGCATTGGAGTTTCTCACCGTAAGGCAGGTTTGTCTAATCCTTTAATCGTTCTGGTGCCACTTCTCTGAACCGCCTCCAATTTATCAACATCCTTCTTGACCCGTAGCATTCCACATTTGACACAGCATTCCAGCAGCTGTCGCACCGGTGCCAATAACAGGGGTAATATAACCTCCGATTCCAACTGGAGATTCCCCTGTTTTAGGGAACTACGTGACTCTTTAAAATTGTCCATGGGAATAGGACATTTCAGGAGCTGTCTTGTGCATAACGCTCTGAGGCCATGACTCTTACACTAGGCTTTTCCAGCCCCATTGAGAATCTCAGACAATATGGCTACACACGCGAGTAAAGGTCAGCATGGGTGTGAGTATTTCCAGGACTGGGGGCTGAGTTTTGCTGAGACACAATAGGACATTTTAAGGGCTCTGCATATTTGATGCCACAGTCAGCAATGACTTCCTCTTTCAGGGGGGTTTATGAATGGCCATGAATGTGTTTTTCTCACTGTGTCTCTTGCACAGTAATACACAGCGGTGTCTTCAGATTTCAGGCTGTTCATCTGGAGATACGTTGTGCTGATGGAGGTGTCCACGCTGATGGTGGTTCGCCCTTTCAGAGTCTCAGGGTAGAAAGTGTTGAAATTGTCAGTTCTAATCCTTGCTACCCACTCCAGGCCTTTCCCCGGAGCCTGTCGGACCCAGCTCATGGAGTAGTCAGTGAACGTGTAACCGGACGCTTTGCAGGTGAGCTTCACAGATTCTCCAGGCTTTTTAATTTCTGCCCCAGACTGAACCAACTGGATTTGGGACTGGACACCTGTGGATAAACAGGAAGAATGTGTAAACATCTGTTTGACTTCTCCACCTTTCCCCTTGTAATTCAAAAAAACCCTCTGTAAAATATTGATAGTAACCCTGTCTTTCTCCCACCCTTTATCTACCTTGACTGTTTAGATTTTAATCTTTTTAGGGCAAGAACAGTTTCTGTCTGTCTGTACAGAGCCCAATGCATGGGGCTTTGGTGTCAGTCTGGGTCGCTAGGGGCTACCATAATACGGCTTCTGAGAAATGCATGGCTCTTTTTGGACATGCTCACCTGTTAGAGTTGCTAGCAGGAAGAGGAAGCAGAGCAGAGGGGCCATGGTTGCCGTTCTCAAACACCAGCTTCTGTGGAGCCAGAGAGAGCAAATTGCCTTTGCAGGTGAGTTTTTCCTCGGAGGTTTTAAACAGGCGATGCCCCTTCTTCATTTGCATGTGGACAGTGCAGTGGACTTAAAAGCCCTGCAGTCTGAAGAGCTAGGGCTGGCTTGGTGCATCAGTGCAGCTTGTCAGCCCGACTATTTCTGTTACGTGATCCCACTGCTCTTCCGTCTCATCTCGTCTGTTCTTCTGCATGGTGCTTGGTCGCCTTTGGCACAGAAAGCAACTCTTGAGATCTAGGGGAGTAAAGGGCTTTAGGCCCTCAACTCCCATTGCCTTACAATGGGACTTGGGCACCTACCTCCCTTAGTCATTGTGCTTGGTGGAGGGAAAAGAGAATATCTACTCTACCTTAATTGAATTCCAACATGTCATATTAGAGCTCCTTGCCTTATTTGAGCTTTATTTTTGATCTTTGCACTTCTGGCTGGAAAGACTTACAAATGCCCTGTGTTGTAAAGAACAGATGGACTAGTTCTGAGGCACCCTGAGGATGGACTAGATGGGGGGCAAAAGGGGTTACAGAATTCAGGAGAAACGTCCCAAGAAATGGGAGACCCCCAAGGGTCCATCTCGTTCAGTCTGTTTTCTCCAGCATCAGCTGCTTCAGAGGAAAGTGCATGAGACCCTCTTGCAGCCCGTTCTAGAATACTCTGCACACGAGGGGAAACTTCTTCCCAACACCTCCTTGGTTCTGCGTCTGTGCATCCGGTTTTGCGTAGGTGGAGGGGGAGATCACAAAGCTAGGAGCACCAAGGAGCTTAGGGATGTTAGACCCTGAAATAAATGGTATTTATGTGCTCAGTACCCTGACCCGCCTTTCACAATCCCAGCCTGTCACTGGGGCTGAGTGAACTTCACAGTGAGAATTCAGGCGCTGGGTAAGCTTAGGTGCCTACAGGATTGGGCAGCAGCTGAATGGGGGTTTTGTGAATCTAGCCCTTAGGTGTCAACACTTTCCCTTGTGCAGGTGAATCGTTCCATTGAACTCAGGAGCTAGGAACTGCAAAGGAACCCAAGGGAACTAGGCACCTAACTACCTGTGAAGTTCAGTAGGATTTGGGTGCCTAACTCCCTTAATTCCCACAGAGAAGCCCAGCCCATGTGACTACTCATGTGAGTAAAGGTAAGCATGTGTGTAAGTGTTTCCAGGATCAGGGCTCTAGATTTGCTGTGACATTAGGGCATTTGGGGGCACTGCATTTTTGATACCACTGTCAGCAACAGTGAGCCAGTTCTGTCGGGGTTTATGAGTGGCAGGGATGTGTCTTTTCTCACTGTGCGTCTCGCACAGTAATACACAGCGGTGTCTTCAGATTTCAGGCCATTCATTTGCAAATACGCTGTGCTGAGGGGGACATCCACGCTGATGGTGACTCGCCCTTTCAGATTTTGGGGATAGAAGGTCTCGAAAGTATCTGTCCTGATGGATGCTACCCACTCCAGTCCTTTCCCGGGAGCCTGTCGGACCAGTTCATTCGGTATTCATTAAACGTGTAGCCGGACGCTTTACAGGTCAGCTTCATAGACTCTCCAGGCTTTTTGATTTCTGCCCCAGACTGGACAAACTGGATTTGGGACCGGACACCTGCTGATAAAGAGCAAGAATTAATGAGTCCTTTACCTGCCCCACATTTCCCCCCACACTGCCAGACACCCACCCTTAGTCTGCCTTGTCTAGTCAAGGTGAGATTTTCAATGCCACCCAGTGCATACGGCTGTCCAATTCCCACTCATATAAATGGGAATGTGGGGCCAACCGCCAAGGCAGCTTTGAAAATCTAAAGCCAGGCAGTTCAGAACAGCGATTACATCTCGCTTTGTACAGGGCCTATCACAAGAGACCCAGTCCCATCTGGCTCTTTGAAATATTACTGTTCTAATATCAACTGTAAGGTCAAAGTTAATACTAATTCCACTACTATTACTTTTGCTAATGCTATTTCTATGTCTCCTAGGGGATTTGAATGCCAAGTCCCACTAATTTGAATGGGAATGGAGTGTTCCAATCCTTTAGGCAGTTTTGAAAGTCTGACTCTAAACAACATAAGCTGCCTTTGCTCATTCTTACCTGATAACACTGCTGCTAAGAAGAGGAAGCTTAGCAAAGGGGTCATGGTTGCTTGGATAAAAGAACGTCTGAGGAGGAAAAGGAAGCAAATTCCTTTTGCTGGTGACAGTTCCCACTGAGGCTTTAAAGAGGAAATGGCCCTACCTCATTTGCATATGGGTAATGGTGTAACCTTAAAAGTTACGGAGCATGACAGGGTGGAGTTTGTCTGATGCATTCTGGAAAGCACTAGATTAGATGTGACGTAGCAAAATTTTCTGCGCAGAGAATGTATTGTTTCACTTTTGTCCTGCACAAAGAGATCTTTGGGGCAGTGCTGCAAATATCGACTACTCTCATCCTTTGGAAAGATGGGTGAAGCCAAGGCACAGACGATTCGTCTAAAACCACGCATGGTATCTGTCAGACTAGAGTTTTGTAAATGAACCTGGATTCCCCTGGCTCTCAGACCAGTGCATAAACTGCAACCTTGAACTCTTAAAGCAGAGAAGTGTTCAGAATAATCAGACTTAATGGCAACAGAAACTCTGGATGGGCTGTTAAGCCTCTTGCTTCAGAGTTGAAGCCAATCTCTAGTTATTAGACACCAGGATGAGGCCTACTTAGTGACAGATTATACTACATCTGCCTACGGAGTGGTTCTTACACCCTCTTCTCAACATCTGAGGCTGACCCCCATGTAGGTGCTGCATAATCCTGGTGAATAACTAACAAGGGCCATAGGAAGAGGTATAGAGGTATAGTAGATTTCACCGCGGAAATGTTAGCATAATTCACATCGACAGAAGGTCTGGCTTTGTCCCACAGAATTAGTTTGAATTATGGTAGCACTTAGGGGCCTAATAGAAACGGGACCCCCTGTACTTTGGCACTAATATGTACATAGATATTCCCTATCCCAAAGTGTTTATGCTGTGAATAGACAAGGGATGGGAGGGAAATCAGAAGTTCAGTGGCTTATGAATACATCAAGGGGTGGTGGTCAACACCGAGGAGGGAGAAGAACTATTAAGGCTAAAGAATAATGTTGGCACAAAGAACAAATGGAGAGAAACTGACCACGGACACATTTCAGCTAGAAATAAATATTCTAACCTTTGAAGGGGTGAGGGTCTAGCCCAGCCTCCCACTAGAAATAGTGGGGCCAAAATAACTAAGTCGTTTCAAGATGGAGCTTGATGAATTGATGAGCCAGGTTATGTGACGGGATTGCCTGGTAGAGAAGGTACGGGATTCAGTGATCCAAGAGGTCCCTTCCTGCCATGCGTTTTGATGAGTTTCCCAAGATCACACAGACCATGCACAGCAGAGACAAGAATAGACGTCAATTCTCCTGCCTCCTAGCTACGTTTGGAAGTATTAGACTTTTATCAGTAAATGTTGATTTCACTGTACACACACAGACCAAAAATATTTCCTTTGATAATAGTTGAAATGTACAGATAGACAAAGTAAGAGAAATGCTGCTTGTGAACTTAGTTTGATTTAAGAATATTTACATTGTATATTTTGACATGATGTTGACCATTTGTGTTTAACACTTTAACTTTTTAAATCTCAACATCTACCATTATTTAATGTGTCCAATTCCCCAACTGTGAAAATTTAGCTAAAAATAAAAAAAACGTAAAATAAATATTGATATCTGAAATTATAGCAAAATAAAAATTGAACTCTGCCAAGCCAACTCATATTCCAGTACCCTGTTCACTGGATCCATTGTATGAGTGGTAAGAGACTGCTGATGTTTCAGGCTAAATACATTCATGGGGAGAAAATATCAGGAGCTAAAGGGATCTTTTAACATTCTGGATAAAGACATAAGAACCAATGACTGGAATTTAAAGCCAGACATTCCAAGTAGAAATCCACATTGTTGACAGGGAGGATGATTAACTTTTGCAACAAGGAAATGGCAGATTCTCCATCTCTCAAGGTCTTCCGATCAAGAGAGGATGCCTTTCTGGACGATACTTTAGTCAAACACAAATTACTGGGCTCAATCCAGAGGCAATTGGATGAAATTCTTTGGCCTGGGTTATGGAGAAGATCAGACTGGATGAACTAATGGTTCCTTCTGGCCTTAAAAATCTACGAACATAATGGATCTGAGTCAGGGACCAATGAACTCAAGAGAAAGTCTCCCACTGACTCAACGCTCCTTGGCCCAGGCTTACGGCTCAATAACAGAAGGTCCTGCTTCTAATGCTGAGGATGCTGCTGTGGATTGAGTGACATTAGCCTCTGGGTTATTGTCCGAGCCTGCGATACAGTGGGCAGCACAGTAATACGTTGCACTGTCATCCGCCTGCAAGTTCCTCATGTCTAAGTGAACCATGTTGTTGGTGTTATCCCTCGTGATACTGAACCGCGGCCGAAGAGACTGCAGCACGTTCGTTGAGACCCCACTTGTGCTGACCTCTCCGATCCAGGTCAGTCCAATCTCACCGGCTTGCCGGACCTTTGGGCTAGATGGACCTTTGGTCTGACCCAGTCTGGCTCTTCTTAAGTCATTTATATCATTCAAATAATGTTCCAGGAAGAGACTTTGCTATGCAGAAGGTCAGACTAGATTATTTTAATGGTTCCTTCTGGCTTTGAAATCTATAAATCTCAGGATTCAGTTTTCAACTGTCCAGGTTGGCTTCAGAGGGTGGAATTTTCAAAGAGCTAGAAGGGATTTAGACACTCCGTATGCAAAGTTAGGCATCTCCCACCCTTAGGCTCCTCTGGAAATTGAAGCTCAAGTTTCCAGGGCTTTATCTCTGGACTAAGTCAAGGGCTGCTGACTTCTCCTCCCTTCCAGAAAGCGAAGAGGCAAGGCACCACCGTGGAATCTTGACATAGGATTCTAGGCCCTCCTGGCATCTT